TGACTTCAAATGATCCACGAAGTTGAGTAACCGTTGTGTGATATCAAATCACCGAAGACAATTGGTGAACGGTTGCTCAACTTCGTAGATCAGTTGAAGTTAGACATTAACACCGTTGGAAGCCGGCTCAGTGATCTATCGGTTAAATAGAATAGTTATACAATACAAAAACTTGAATTATCGTTGTAAATTTCGATAAACCAGTATTAAACTCGAGTTGTTTTTCTTCATTTAAAACATAGAATTTTTTTCAACAATTAAGGCCTTGTTTAAAAAGTTGCATAAGTTACAGAGTAGTTAGATAAAAAGACAATTAAGAACAACATCATTATCCATATGCTCACATTGAACCATTATATGGATTGACCTCAATTTCAAAATATTAACTACAGTATTCATAGTAAACAAAATAATATTTTCGACAACAGATCTTGAATTGAATCAATGAGGTGGAATGATTCAACTTGATGTCCATTACAGTAATTTACTGTTTGAAAGATACTAACAGAAAAAGTGGAAGGCTATGGTTTTCTTATTGATCACTTTCAATCATTCTATACTTTAAACAAAATAAAACTAACAGTTTTGAGATCCTAATTCATTTCTATTTAAACACTTCACTGGGGGAACTTGAAAGTTTAATGTTTGATTGATTAGTTACTTTGAATAATATACGGTTGTTTCTATTTCTTGAAGATGATCTCTCTTCATCATATATCTAACTTTGTATATATATGATTCCCTGTTGTTAATATATATTTTAGGCTTTAATTAATGCATTTCTAATGGTATACTTCAAAACTCTATGTAGATTAAGCAAAAGGATCTGATACAACAGGTCTATATAAGGTAATCAGCATGAATGCGTATATATTTAACTAATTGAACTTAAGTGGCAACTAGTCTGCAAATAGATTTTTAGCCAGTTGTGACAGACACACAGAGTTTCATAAACAAACTTATATATTATGGAAAAGTTTACGACTTAATAGTAGTATTTAAAAAGCGACGATGGCTTAAAGTTATCAACCTTAATGACGAGACATTTCATAGTTAATTACCCTACAGGAAATATAAACACTTCAGGCATATTCTAACAGAACTATGAAAATATTCTCTTACAATTCAAATAATTTATTTATCACTGTGACAGAAGATTTTGAAGATAAATTAATAATCTTGAGTACTAAGTATCTGATTTTAGGTTTTTCAGGTATTTTGTATCTTAGTACTCAAACAAAAATAAATGAATAGACATTTACGAGCGATCTAAGATTGAGATTGATTTCTTAAATGGAGTTGCGGGGATATTCTTTCTAGTGAAATCATGAGTTGATATAAGTCAGACAACTATTCAAAACCTGCTTGCACTGGATAGCCGATTCGTATTAGTATGGGACTTCTTGGCGGTGCTCATCCACGACCTCACAACTAGGGATCGAATCCAGGACCTTTGATCTCGCGCTTAGTGGTTTATGGGTTAAGCGTTAGTCGGAAAAACGAAGATCTTGGGTTCAGTTCCAGCTCGCTGGGTTGTGAATGAGTAAAGCTGAGAAGTTCCATATCAGGATGGAACGGCAGTTCAATGCTTTCAGGTTTTCAGTCGTTGTCTAATTTAGATCGATTCATGATTTCAATAAGATTGACTTTCTTTAATCGATAGGATTTACCGTTAGCCGATATCCGTTTTTACTTGAATATATTCTTTATAATGGTGCATAGTACCTGTTAATTTCTAGTTAATACGTCCCAGTGGAATAACACCAACTATCAGTCAATTTCATCAGTGAGATGACCAGACAATTTTGTAAGACCAAATAACTTTTCTAGATTACTGGTTTACTTAGAGGGTTTATTCTGAGTTATAACTTAGATGTAAGCAATTCTTGAGAGGAAAATTACTTTCTGTGAATTAAGCAAAACTAATTATTGATTCAATTGGCCGTTAGGCATTTGTTGGCAATAAATTAGAGCATCTTATTTCTTACATGATTTATACACACAATAATCTTTTTTTCAAGAGAAACCTTTATTTAGGGAATAGGGATTTGTGGAAATTGTATAGTTTAAATAGTTAAATTCATGAGTCACACTAAGCTAGACTACCATTGAAAACCTAAAAGCACTGGACGACCATCTCGTCCTAGTATAAGACTGCTCAGTCCCCGACCCCGAACTCCAGACTCGAACCCAGGTTTTCAATGGTGGTCTAGTTAGATCGACTCATTAATCCTATAAATAAAATTACTAAAATCTCCACAAATCACCATTCTGATGATAATCATGTGCTCACTAGTGACTAGTTTCAAGATATAACTTCGACAGTTCTAATGAGAAGCTATGACCAGTGGAGCCCAATCCGTGGAGGGTGTGATACAGCTATCCACTTCAGACAACGGATGATTGGTTACGCAAGATCATATATACTTGTATTCATTCAAGAATATGAAACATTTTAAAGTTAGTGTATTATTATTTTGCTTAAATTTAGAGCTGAAAAGTGTTTTTCGAAAGGAAAAAACACATATACAATTGATAAGCAAAAATGGATAGTGGCTAGCAGTGGAATCCAGGACGCGCGTTTCGTCCTATTTGGGACTCGTCAGCTGGATGTACCTGCATCTCAGAGTTGATGTTCACTCTGGGACTCAAACCCAGTATCCTTCGCTTCAAAGGCCATCGCGTTATCCACTCGGCCACTGAGTCCTATGGAGTGAAGTTTAAATTCATTCAAACAAACAATACTAAATGAATTTAAACATATACACTTGTTTCTTCCATGAAGTTATGTCTGCTAAGTTATATAATATCCATTAGAATTGTAACGTCATTTCCAATCTCCTTCCTAAATAGTAATTTATTAAGATGACAAAATTTTCTATTAAGGTGATATTTAGTCATTTGCTCAATACTAAATTTGTGTTAAATACATTAGATATAATAGTAATAATAAATAATAATAATAAATAATAGCTAACATTGGAATCCAGAATGTGGGTTTCGTCGGGTTTTGGTCTCATCAACCGGATATACTTGCGTCTCAGTGTTTACATTCATGATGAGATTCAAACCCAGTGCTTTTCGCTTCAAATAACAATGATTTCCTGAATTCAATTGTTAATTATCATCTAACTTTAACAAAAATCTAGTATCATAAGGGGCTATTGTGGAGATTTCAGTAATTTTATAGTTGAAATCATGAGTCAGTTGAAGCTAGACCACCATAGAAAACCTGGAAGCACACTAGTGAGTGACTTCAAGAAATATTTCCTGGAGTTCTAGAGAGAAGCCGTGACCAGTGGAGTTCAACCAGGTCAGTTGTGGGATATCGACTAACTGAAGACAATGTCAAACGTTTCCTCAACTTCGTGGATCGGTTGAAGTTAGACATTAACAGAGTTGGAAGCCGGCTCAATGGCCTAGTAGTTAAGCGCTTGCGCGCGAGACTGATATGTCCTGGGTTCGAATCTCATCAGGCGAGATTATGGATGCGCAGTGCACACCACATTAGAACGAAACAGACATCCAGTGCTTCCAGGTTTACCATGGTAGTCTAGCTTCACTTGTTTCATGATTTCAACTATAAAAAATCTAGTAATTAAATAACAAGATCAAGGTGATTCTCTGAGGGTAAACATTTACCAATAGACATTGAGAAATTGCTGTCCACAATGTCAACAAATTAGAAAAAAAAGTATAAATCCCTACAACAGAATAGCTGACACTACGCACATCTAAAAAGCGTCTTTAGATATACTTTATTGAATCAAGCTTAAAAGTATGAATTACATTGTCAAAAGGTAATGTATAATTCAATGAATCTTTTCTTAATTATTCGGTAAGCTAATCGATTTAAGGTTGATTGAAAGTAAGATTTTTATAGAATTTTTCATAAGGTTAAATTATGATATTTGTATCATGTTATTTGCTTATCATCTTCACTGAAATTGATGATAATAGTGATAATAATACGCTGTAACGTATACATAAGGATTTATATTAATAAGTTAAACTAATAACACGTTACGTAACTTGTTATTATTCTCAAATAAATGTTATCCCATTCCCATAATTTTCGTATGATCTTAAAGTAACCCTACTTGAGTAATTTTTCTGGTTAGCCATCATCCAGAAGATACAGGTGTTTATTAACAATTGTCTACGCAAAATAATTCGAATCCGTTGGCTAGACACTATCAGCAACAACCTACTGTGGGAGAGAACAAACCAGATCTCAGTGGAGGAAGAAATCAAGAAGGAGCGCTGCAAGTGGATAGGACACACTTTGAGGAAATCACTCAACTGCTTCACAAGACAAGTTCTCATATGGAATCCTTAAGGCCGAAAGAAAAGAGGAAGATCAAAGAACACATTATGCCGAGATATGGAGACAGACACGAGATGAATGGACGAAAATTGGATAGAACTAGATTAGAAGGCTCAAGACAGAGTGGGTTGGAGAATGCTGGTCGGCGGCCTATGCTCCGTTGGGAGTACCAGGCGTGAGTAAGTAAGTAAGTAAGTAGGCAACCCTACTTAAAACATATTGATCCTTATTAATATTTCGAATGAGTAACACAGTTTTATATCTTGTCACATCAAAACTACTTTTCATTCAATAACTAATGATATACTTGATATATCACAGCTAAACCATACATATACTCATATAATCTGTTCTAGAATGTATAATTTAGTTATAGTTACCTTTTAACTTATTAAATTATCAGAAGGGGTTTTGTGGAGATTTTAGTAATTTTATAGAGTTGAGATCATAAGTCAATTGAAGCCAGACCATCACGGAAAACCTGGAAGCATTGAACGGCCGTTTCGTCCTATTGTGGGACTCGACACCATTGCCCATCTATGATCCTGCCTCACGAGATTCGAACCCAAGACCTACCAACTGGATGAAACCGCCGTCCAGTGCTTCCAAGTTTCCCATATATATATATATATATATAAACTAAACTCTTGACAATAATCTTTTTTTAACTAACCCGGTAATTTTTCATTTCATTTGATGAATCAATTAAATTTCCTAAAATTAAAGGTTTTATATCATCAAATGACGTATTTCGTTGCATAGAATTGTTTCCATCACTTAGTAACATGGAATGATTATTATTCACAATGGTATCATGATTATGATCATTAGTTAATCTTGTTGTTGTTGTCAAGGCATTTTTCTCTATACAACTTTCATCAACTGTTAATTCTTCTGTTCTTAAAATATTCTGTTCTTGATCTTGATCCGAGTGATTTGGATTGATATCAGATTGTAATTGATCATAATCAATATCTTGATTTGATTTGATTTGTTGTAAATTATTATTATTATTATGGTGTCTTTCTATTCTCCTGACTTCCTCTTGTCTTAATTCATTAACTTTGTCCAAATGATGTTTGATCATAGAATTGGAATAAATATTGATATTAACTGTAGAAGAAGAAGAACAATATTTTGAATGAATTTTTTTAAAGTTTATGAAGGTTGACTTGTTGCTATGGTTGTTAATAATATTACCATCAATAAAATTATTATTATTATTATCATTATTATCAAGACATGTTGAAGTACCGAATGTAAGAGCTGTTAATTTTGTTATTGGATTATTATTATTATTATTATCATCATCATGAGTAAAATGATCTTGTGGCATAAGATATGATTGGTGGTAACGAGTTGGATGATTACCAATACAGTAACTATGATGATTATTAAAATTTGAATGTTGTTGCCGTTGTTGTTGTTGTTGTTGTTGATGATGATTGTGACGATTATCTAAATCAACCAACTGAACAGTTAACATCTCAACTTCTATGTGGATATTACTCACAAAGTGTATATATTTCTATTTTCTATTGAATCTATATGTCTTATACGTAGATTTTAAAGATCGTCTATTTAATAATAATCATCCCGTAGTTTTAATTTAGTCAAATCAGTAATCATTGAAATGTTAGTATGTTTTGGAGTTGTCTTCTTTTTTTTAGGTAATGAATTTACGTTATTTCTCTACTATGGTTAACAACATACTATTCATTAAATGTAATGCATTCAAACATTATAGGAATGTTAACTATACTTTAGCAGCATTCTGATTGGTTAGCCTACATGTATCAATTAACCAATTGAATTCTACAGCGTATTTTTGGGATGAAATTCAATTTTTATTTTCTATTCATAGTTAGTCATTGGTAATTAGTCAAATTTAATAATAGCTCTTTATATTATTCATAATGTTTATTTATTTTTTCATGAGATACAGTATAAAGAAAACTTTATCTATTTGTGGTTGATAATTTTTAGCTATTAGTATAGGGTTGTGAAGATTATTGAGTTTTGATTAAAGTCATGAATGGACCAATGTTAGATCGCCATTGAAAACCTGAAAGCATTGGATGGTCGTTTTAATCTAGTATGGGACTCCTCAGCAGTGCTTTCCCATGATCTCACACGTAGGATTTGAACCATATAATGATAATTATCATATGTTCACTGGTGACTAGCTTCAAGATTTAACTAGCGAGAAGCTATGACCTCTAGAGTTTAACAAGTGTCTGGTGTGATGCAGTTGCTCACTGAAGAAAATGGAGGACGGTTGCACAATATCGTGGATTGGTTGAAGTGGAACATCTTCATACTTATCAATCATCATCTCGTTTGTTGATAAACATTCAAGTTCTCAACAACTACACTTTCCGTTTTCTAATAAGAATAACATATATTCCTTTTCTCTCTTATTTCACATCAATGTTATCATGTTTAATAAATCTATCATTATTACTATTTTTATCAGTATTAATAGACATATTATTGACTATAATTTTAAATTATATGTATATATTTACAGTCGTACAGCTTTGCGAATGAATTTCCCGAGAAAAAGAACTCTTTACTGAACCAATCTTTCTTGTTTTTATCCTTAAGTTCATTACTTAAGACTAAACTTAATCAAACAACAAATTCAGTATCTTCATTGATGAATTGAATGAAAAATTTGTCCAATGGTGTGGTTATGCATGACTTTTAAAAATAATTCTTACATGTACATTCTTACTTATCAATAACAGTTCTACAGTAATATCTTTATATCTTTGAATAATGGAAGGTAATAACAGTAACTAAAGTTATAAATAAATCTTGATAATGAATCCATATCATCATAGATCACAAATGTAATGCTACATGATAATGATTTTTGATAAAAATGAATAAAAAATGATCATTTGTTTGATAGAAGTAAACTTGTTTGATCGAACTTATACCAAAATTTTATTCTTTTTTATATAACTTAAAATAGTAATAAAGCTTAGTAGTAACCCTGGTACATTTAAATAAGTTCATTTCTTTAATGAATAATAAAGTAACGTGAAATTAAATCTTTTGAGATATATATATATATATATATATCGGTTAAGGGCTCTGGCGCGAGACTGGTAGGTCCTGGGTTCGAATCTCGCGAGTTATGATCGTGAATACACACTGCTGAGGAGTCCCACAATAGGATGAAACGGCCGTCCAGTGCTTCCAGGTTTTTCATGATGGTCTAGCTTCAATTGACTCGTCATTTCAACTATATATATATATATATATATATATATATATATATATAAATTACTTAATTAATGTAAATACATCATTGAGAAGAATTTAAACTACTACATGATTTAGACCCAGATTTTCATATAGATTGTTTCTAATCAATCAACTCTATTATCCATAAAATTAACCCTATAAATATTAATTTTCATTCATTAAACTCAACTTATTTATCATAGTTAAAATCATGAGTCAATTGAAGCTGGATGACCGTTTCTTCCTATTGTGAGACTCCTCAACAGTACGCACCCACGACCTTGCATCGAGAGCGAAATTCAAACCCAGCTTCACTTGACTCACGCTTTCAACTATGAAAATATTAAATCTTCATGAAAAACCCCTTCAACTTATTCAACCAACTAAGGATTTTAAAAAAAAATTAAATTTTTTTAAAATTTACTTTGAAAATTTATTTAAATTTCATAAAATAATAAATTAAATTCAATAAAGCAATAAAACAAATAATATCAATAATAACTTACTTGTTACTCATTACGTTAATTTTCTTTCTTTTGAATTTATTTTTTTTGGAAAAAAAATTTCCTTGATCCAATTGATAGTTTGTTTTTATTTGGGAAGAAGGAGGGGGGAGCTGAGAAACAAGGAAATGATACTAACAATACTACTAGTACTACTACTAATAGTAGTAGTAAAACACCTACACTCGTAAGCCAATGATTTCAATCAATTTAATGTATAATAAAATAATAAAATGATTTAATTGTAATACTTCTTTATTATTTATTCAAGAGGAAAATTAAAATGAATCCGAATAAATGTATCCTACTTTTGATGAATGAGTTAAGGGGAAAAAGAGGATAAAGAAGTAACTATAGTAACAATAATTCTTTTATTCATATAGTAATGATAATTTGATATTAACGATAATGATGCGGTGGATTTGTTATTAATGAATATAGATATATGGTTTTATGATAATAATTATTATTATTTCATTAATAATTGAATGTCTACAACTTTGGTTCATTCATTATATTCTATATGATTAGTACTATTATTATTATTATTATTATTAGTATTAGTAGTAGTAGTAGTAGTAGTAGTAGTAGTAGTAGTACATGTTAACCAATAAGACTAGTGTTCACTTACACTTGTCAGAATTCTTTCGCGCTTGTATATAATATGTGTGTGCATATAAAGACATATATGTGTATGTGTGTGTGTGTGAGCTGTAGCAAACGGTACTTTTCTAACATTGAACAAACTACAAATTGTTTAAAATATAGTAAATCATGTGTATTTTAAGAAGAAGAAGAAGAAAAAGAAAAAGACATTTATTGATTCCAGTCTAGTGACACTTCATTGATGTAAAACTTGTAATAAAGTAAAAGTTTCACAAAACTTCCATTAAAAAACTTTCAATTCATAAATGGATAATTTAGAATAAGATTAATCTTCTTGGAAAGTGATTTACATTGTAGAATGCGCTAATCTAATCGGCCAGTTGAAGAAATTATTAAGCTGAAAAAAAATATTTTATTACATTGGGATTTCTAAGAATTATTAGTTTAGAAAGGGTTTTGCGGAGATTTCAGTATTTTCATAGTTGAAATCATAAGTCAATTGAGGCTATACCACCATGGAAAACCTGGAAGCACTGGACGGCAGCAGTGCGTATCCACGATTCAGGTTTTCGATGGTGGTCTAGCATCAATAGACTCATGATTTCAACTATGAAAATTATTAGTTCGTAAGTCGTATTGATCACAGATAAATCTCAGTAAGGATACAAATGAAATACAGGGAACACTGGATGTTTATTACATTTCAATGTGGGAGTAGTGGAAAATTTTAATGACTGAAAACAAGTAACTATCGTTCAATTCTGCTAGGGATCACCAGTTCCCTCAATATTACAGGTGCACCTTGCTGACGAGTGCCAACTAGCACGAAACCCGGGTTCAGGGTTTCCTGTTGACCACCTCCAGCCACTATCTTATCTCGGCATAGTGCACACAGTGTCGAGTCACCTAGAGTAGTCGCCACATTACAACTTGATCGACGGCATTCGTTCAGAACTAAAACGGAGTTGAAATTGTATAATTTACATCAAATATTGATCTTACCTAGATAATCGTTGGAAACTAGAAAACAATGAACAGTTGTTTTGTCCTAATACGGGATGATTACATAGTGTACATTCATGACCTCATCATAAGGAGGTCAAACCCAAAACCTTCTTGTCTGAAGATGAACACTTAACCATTGGAACGACCGGATCGGTACATACACCTCAGAGGAATCCCATACTAGGACAAAACAATTATCCAGTGTTCTCTAACTTTCAATGTTGTCTCAACTAAAAACAATCTATTATTAGCATAATTTATAAACAAAACCAGTCTCCTTGAAACTTATTCAACTAAATCATTATATTATTTTTGTAAATTTATCATTCAACGATGGTAAGGTCTCATCTATGTAGGTGGATAGATAGTATGTGATTTCAGAAGAAGAAAAAGAAAAAAAACAGGCCTTAAGGCTAAAATAAACCAACATAGTGATTTCTTATCAATTAATTGTCTCAACAACAGCAAAAAATTAAACAACCCAGTTTAAACTCTTGAAAATGGTATCAATATAGATATGATCATAAATATCTAAAAAAAACGCATTGAGATAAACAAAACTATTATGACTTTTCTTGATTTATTCTGGTCACATCGATTGTTTAGGTAGCAAAACATACCATAATTTAAAAAAAAAGCAAACATATATTGTCAAAAGTGACCGTTCTATAAATAAAAACTTAAGAAGTTTTAGATATTTTATCTGTAGTTGTAGGTTAATTAATTTATAATATTCAGATGATATTGTAGAAAATGTTGAATTTCATTGAGATCATGAACGTATCTAAGTTAATCCACCTTTAAGAACATCGAAGTAGTGGACGGCCGTTTTGTCGTAGTACGGGACTCATTTGAAGTGTTCACCTGAGACCCTGAACACGGATCTTCATTTTCATGCTTGAACGCTTATCCTTCAAACCATTGAGTTGATATCCAGCAATATCAATGTCAAGCCTTAAACAATCTACCATATTGCACGACCATCTTTTTTTGTCTTCGGCGGATAACTGTCTCATACCCGATACAGAATAGGCTCACTAGCCTCGACTTCTAACCAAAACTTTAATTTCTTTTAGAAGCTAGTCACTAGTAAGCATATGATAATTTTCAGTATGAAGTCCCACACTAGTAATAAACAGTCGTCCTGTGCCTTCAGGTTTTTAATGATGATCTAACTTAGATCAGTACATGATTTCAATATAATTAACAATAGTTATACTTGTATATAGTCTAAATCACAAAGTAATGCTAGTTAGATAGCTATTGGAAACCTGGAAACATTGGATACTTGTTTCATCCTTGCATGTAATTTTCAGAGGTGCATAGTCACGACTACGCATTCGG